GTTCAATATATATATATATATAAATATAAAAAATATAATTTAGTATCAAATTGAAAATTTATGCAAAAAAAATATTCTATTTTATAATATGCCAATATCTTCATATTCAGTAAGCCAAATTAAATAATTTTATATCACCAGATTCACCAAGTCAAGATGCATCTAATGATGTCAAAATTATATAATTTGAATCACTAGATCAAAGATATAATGTCTCAAAAATACTGTACAAAAATCAGAGTAAAAAAATATTTTAAAGAAAATTTTAAAGAAAACCATTTTTGCAAATATCTCTGCATCTAGTAGACCAAATTGAATGTGAAGTTATTCACAAAAAACTGTTTTTTTCAAAAAATTTATTTCAGTTTGGTACATTATCTTTGAGACATGATATCTCCATATCTAGTAATCCAAATTGAATGATTTTGATATCATTAGATGTACCATATCTTGAAGAATATTTTCATTTAATTTAATTTACTAGATATGAAGTTATTTGCATATTTGTAAAATAATATTTTTTTACATAAATTTCAGTTTGATATTAAATTTTATTTTATATATATTTATATATATATTTTGAACTAGTTATTGAAATCACTTGAAATTTTGATATAATATACAATATGTTTCAATGATTCTATTTGCTTAGAATCATAAATCTTGCTTTTTTATTAGTTTTTGCGTTATTGTATTTTAAAAAGTGTTCACAATATTCTGGGAGGCCTCTGTATATTAAATAATAGTAAAGTTATTATTAATTTTAAATAATTAATCTAAATAATATTTAAAAATATCAAAATTTATGATAAAATCAATATAATCAAAATAAAAAACTACTAAAAGTAACTGAAATGAACTCACAATAATCGATAAACCAATCTGTCAAAAAAAAGATTGATTATTAAGCACATTGTTTATTTCATTGCTAATAAAGTTAACTTCAATATATTCGTATTTTATGTTTCCCGTTGATTAGCTCATTTATTTTAGTAGCTGCAGGAAAAGAAATTGCTCTAAACTTTTAGAATTGAGCATATCTTGAAAGATGCTCGAATCAGCTAAAAGGTTCTTTTCTTAATTATTTTAATATATTTGCTTAACGTCAAATGAAACAGAAAATGATGAAATTCCAACAAGTCATATTCTTCAAGGAAGAAATTTTGTACCCTCATAAGTTGAGTTTCAAGAACATTTAAAGGTGTGATTAATATTTTATCGAAAGCAGAGACTGGCGAAAGTGTAAACTACAAATCCTATTATATTGTTTCACTACAGATACTTTTGCACCATTGTCTTCAATATTATATGATATCGAAAAGCAATCGCTTTCACCGAAACATTCGACGATACAAGCATTAATTAAAATCATCTAATTAATTCTGTTTTGATAGTTCAAAAGATCTCGGAGAAAGGACGAAAAATCGCAAAGTTACAAATGTTTAATATGATTAAACAACGATGACCCCCTTTAAATAACCTCAAACTTATTTTAAATTTGGTCATAGCTGGAGGATAATTGGTAGTATTTATTTTTGTAGTTATGTATCGAATAACGAATACAATAGTATAACAAATTTCGTTCGCTTATACAGCCTAGTGAAGTATTAAGACAATCCAGTGAGTGTCACGTAGTTATAAGATAATGCCAAATCGGTATGCTAACACATCTAATATATATTGTTGCAAGGATGATATTCTGTCTGGAGGTCGGTTACGCTGGCGAATTTGTAAGATTTTTTCCATATGCAGTGAGTGATACGAGCAAGCTTGGGATAATATTTGTCAAGATGAGTTCTTTCAAGCTTATTGCGTTTAATACTGGAACGCGAATATGGTGATTTTATTAATTGGTTTTTTTCAGTCTTGGGCAACAGTTGAAGCATTACGATAATGTATGCAACTTCGTTTTCATTGATCCATTGCGGAGTTACGCAAATACTGATACGCCTCTTAACATTACGTAATGCTATTTATGGAGTTCAATGAACTCAAATCATATACATGTACATGTACATGTATTTGGTATTTCATAGAAGAGATTTACGTACGTACATAAGCATAAACGTGATTACTATTACGTACTATACAAAATGGAAAATTTCCATTTCGGTAAAATAGATCTTATTTAAAGATTGTAAATTTTTTCATATCGATATCGGATTAATATCGATACCGCAATAACAAGAAACAATAACGATAACGACAATGTCAGATTCAATTTTACCCTATTTCTTTGCTAGTATTTTATTAATTATTGGATATTTTGCAATCAAGTATCCGGATAGAGCAGCTGGCACTAGAGATCTTAAAGGACCAAAAGGGTTTCCAATAATCGGTAACCTGATTACAACGTTACGTAAAATCGAAACATTTAATGATTATCTTCTTGAACAAACCAAAAAATACGGAGACATTTAGTGAGCATTTTTTTATATGTTAGTGTAATAAAATAAAGTCAAATGATTCGATTGTAATTTCTTTATCGTTTGCGTCAATAAGCACATTAACTTTGCCAGGTCCAATAAGAATGATCATAATTAATATACCTGAATTGTTGGAGTATATATTAAAAGATAATTATCTTAATTATCCGAAAGGCCCTTATTATTCTCAACTTAGTTCAGATTTGTTTGGCTATGGAATTTTCAATGTTGATGGTTGAAAAAATCTAATTTTCTTTTTTGTATTAAGTTATTACTATTTTCAATTCTGATAATATTCTTGTATATGCTAAAACGAATAGACAACCATGGAAATTCCAAAGAAGAATTATAAGCCAGGTTTTTCAAGGAAGAAATTTTCGTACTATAATATGCTGAGAATTTGAAGTGCACTCGAAAATTATGCTCAGAATTTTATATAAAGCTGCAGAAAACGGAGAAAGCATAGATCTTACGAATTTATTCTTTCGTTTCACAATGGATACCTTTGTAAAGTATGTCTAGTTCATAACAATTAACGACAAATGGCTTTTATTTTCATGATTGCTGAATTTCACAATTGTAGGATCTGCTTTAATGAGAATCTCGGCACGTTGACAGATCTTGAAAATACTCCACTTTTCAGTACAGCG